ATCCTGCATAAATATTAGCTGCAACAAATCCCTGCCCAAAGAGTTCATATGCAGTATCAGAAACCAGCTGTTTCCCATCAGTCCCACTTCACACAGTTTTTGCCTCCAGTTAGTATTCATACTGGGTATAAAAGTGACAAGGATGAGTAACCAGTAGTTCTTCAGTTGTATGTGGTTCACAGGCAGTTCAAGCAGGTCCCAGGCTAGAGCTGTAACTTACGAGCAGCAGTGAAAGACGCAGTATTGAGGAATACAGTCATCCTATAGAAAGGAAGTATATCTGAATAACTCTCCCTTCCCTAACCTGTCAAACACTCATAGAGCATTCCCTCCCACTCCTCAGCTCTCCAAAACAGACATTCTGCATCTTTCAGCCATTTGAATATAAAAGAACATTTTTATATAAAACTTGTGCAGTCACAACATGTAGTCATCATTACTACACACGATCACGCCACAGTTCTACCAGCAAACATTTTCTTTAATACCCCAGATCTACACTCACTCTTACAGCTCTCAGGGTACTTGTATTATTACAGTATTTTTCTTGTCAGAAGAGGATGAGGCAGGAACAAGGTGGGAGAGATCTAAAAGGAATGATGATCCATTTGGCAAGGAAGCCACTTCCCTAGTGCACCACAGTCCTGCCTCAAAAGATAAAAGCATAGTGATAATCTGATATCTTTGCTTTCCTCCTCTGACACTTTGGCAAGAGTTTCAAAAGCACCTCAGATCTTGCAGCTTCCACAGAAGTCAGCTTGCAATGCTGAATATCTCAGAAAAGCATAGCATCACTATTTTTATTCAGACAGGATTCTAGACGTAGAGTAGCACCTAACGAGACCATAGAAATTTTATACTTGTTGATTAAAACACAACTTTCTGATATGTGCAGTCCATTCTATGTACCATCACATTGTCTCCATCTCTTTGTAAATTTGACTAACTTTACAGCAACTGGAATTGAGAGAAAAGTCAAAATTATAGGCAGACATCATTAATCTAAAAGTATTTTTTTCTACAAAACTGTAGTTCATGAAACAAAGACAAAAAGATAAAAAAAGGAATTAAATATTGAAGTATACAAATAATCCAGAAAGCTGGAACCAGTTCCTAAGCCAGTTAAAATATGTCTTACCACACTACTTATTTATACTGGTATAAGAAAATAAAATCCAAAACCTCAAGTTGTTTTATCCTCCAATAACAGATAGTATTACTGGTGTCAGAGGGGCACTTAATAAACTCAAGTGATGCTTTTCCTTCCCACATGTCTCAGATCAATAGAAAATCACAACTTCTATTTAAGTCCATTCTTCAATTTGTAGGTATCTCTATATATATATACATGTTTGACAATGCAAAACTCATCAAGGGTTTAGCAAGCTGCTTACAGCTTTGTGTAAAATGTATTTCAATCCATGACTGATGAGAGTGGAGAAATGTAACTTCTGCATTAAAAAAAAAAAATAAATTTAGAAACTTAAACCAACCCCAAACCTTTCTTATTTTCGGACATAACCAGGCTACAAACCCACCCCAAACCCAACCCCTCCCACGTTTACTATGCAACCATGGCTAGAGGGCTCTCTAAGGCAGAACGTCCCTTTTCTCATGGATGCAAATAGTTCAAATCCCATGGAAAACAAATTAATAACTTACTTTTTCCCCTCACTCACTGATTTTTACTAGATTTAAACTTTTGTTCAGAAAAGCTTGACTCAAAAGAGATTTTCAGCTGACAGAAGAAAACACCCTGAAAAATACGTGACTCCACAAAGCTTTTTACTTGCCCTCCTTCACACAGTAGCTGTGCCTTTTTTTCTTAGAGACACTACTGGTTTTTGCCAAGATGATGCTTTGCACAACTGCAAATAACTTGCAGTATGTATGTGACAGTCCAGCATTGCTTCAGGCAAATGTCCATAGCTGTGAGTCAGTCCCAGAGAGAATCCTTTCTGTTCTATAATGGTCAGTGCCGCAGACTTAAATCAAAATATCCCAATCATTTTCTGCACTTCATCAAATTTCTCCGACAAAGTAACACAGCAGATCTTATGAACAACATTGAACCATCCTATCCCAGCAACTGCAGAAAACACAAGGTGAATAAACATCCCTCCAAGACAGAGAAAAATATAAATCCAGAATTTTGGTGTGGCAAGGACAAGAAGTTCCAGGTCTTCTGAATACCTTTAAACAATCAGATCCTAGTGATTTACCAGCTGTTATTTTCAAAATCAGCTGAAAGCCAGACCCTATGCCTAGGTGGCCAACACATTCATTTGCGACCACAAACAGGACTTGGTCACTGGATGCTCTGCCCCTGCCAACAGCAAGCATGTGCAGACACTGACAAGTGGAGGAGGAGACAGGCAGGTGACAACACTACTGCTGTGTCCTGGGTGGGCAGCCAAGCACTGAAGTGCACTGAAGCCCACCTGAGTTTCAGAGGAATACTGCAGGACAGCAACCCTCTATGCACTGCTGGAGCAGGTGGCAGGCGAGCTCTTTAGATGATCCAGGCATTTGTCCCAAATGCTGCCAGTGAGGGAAAACCCAGGGAACATCAGTCATGAAGAGCCTGCACTACCACTAACACCTTACCCCACTCTTCTCACTTCAGACTGCACTGTGACTTTTCTTCCCCAGACACCACAGCTACTTGAAACTTCCCACTTCTGCAACACACTTACTTCTGTCAGGGTACTGGTGAGACCCCCTTCCCCCTTCCTATTCTCTGCAGACGCAGCCTAGGATAATTGTAAGCACTTATATAAAACTGGAACATTCCACTTACTAGGATTAGGAGCACAATGACCAAATCATTGGATAGGATCTGAATAAAAATTCAAGACAAGAGAGAAGGTGTCATATAAAATTAGAGAATCTGTATTTTAGTTCATTACAGCATTACACTGCAGACAAGACCTGTCTATTAAGAGACTGAATTTTCATCCATTACAGTTAGCACCTTACATTAGGAGGGCAGGGTCATGTCATGGCACCGAGAAGACAAGGCAGAAGAGGGACTGGATGTGCCTGGCAAACACCATCTTTCCCCACAGTGGAGAAGAAAAAAAAAGGCATATGACAAACACAATAGTTAGTTTCCTCATATTCACACGCAATCACTGAGGACATTCTTATATCCTAACATCCTACAACCTCCAAAAAGATCTAAGATTATAAATTTTCTCTGTATATTAGTATAAAATCCACCCAACATTGTTTGTATGCATAGGCCATACCATAATGATCCTAATGCACTTCTCAGTTGGGACTGCAGTCTGTCCCCTATAATCAAGAGGCCAACCTTCCCTCCAGAGCTGCAATGGATATTGCACTGTAGCCCCTCTGCACACAGATGTCAAAGCCTTTGCTTTGGCCTCGCCGTGCTTCAAGTTGACTCACTGCTCCATCTGCTGAGAGATTCAAAGCATACACATCTTGTCCTGAGCTGCAGGAAGGTGGCACTGACTGCAACCAAACCATCAGCTGTCACAACATGCAATTCAAAAGGGATGTCAGGAGTGTTTTGATACCCCAGGAAAAAACACGTCTCTAAAGCATGCAGTGCGAATAGCAAAGCAGAGCATGAATTTGGGTGTAAGACTGAGGACTATGTTGTGTTAGTCTTCCAAAGTCAGATGAATAAGAAAAGACAATCTGGGTCAGCTGCCCACAACTAGCTACTGAAACATCAGTGAACACAGCACAGCAGATGCAGCTACAAATGACAGAAGCACTGACAACTGCAGCTGACTTGGTCCCTATTGTTCAACTGCAATGTGGTGTGCCTGAAATGCAACCGGTAACTCCTCACATAGGAGTCTGTCCAGTTGAAGGGCAGTCAATGCCCTAGGTCACCTAGGCCTAGCAATGCACAGCAACAAAAGCCTGAACATTCTGAGAATTCTGGATTTAACTGACCTGGTTAAAGCTAAGACTGTAGCAATACCCCGAAAATAATGGGAATCCTTCAGTTCCAGATAGTTCTGTGGCTAAACATTAGACTCAGTTTCTTCTCACAAAACCAGATATAGCAGAAATTCAATGTTTGTGGGGTTTTCTAAGCTGAAGAATATTATTACCTATTATCCTATGCTGCATCTGTTCCCACTTAAGTGAATTCTTTAATATTTTTTTTCCACCTTGTTTCAAGTTTCGTTCCAGAGACTATTAAAACTAACAGTCACATTTGTTAAAATGACCAGTAACTGTCCAATTCTAGTGCTGAAAAACTACCTGTTTCTTTTTGTTAAGCAGAAGGCTAATATAATTCATCTGCCTGGTACTGCATTCATCAATTAAAAAGTGTAACAGTACAATCAGTTCTGAAATGTATTTCTTTTCACATGGAACAAGATGTTCAAAATACTTGCACATACATTATTCTATAGATCCCTTTTCAGAAGTGCTTGGTAGGAGAGTCTATGAAGATACTCCTGGCTTCAGATGAAGTCCAGAGAGATTCTACTTTTTACCCCTTACTTTATTTCCAAAGTTCAAGAGTAGAGAGGTACCCTGGTCTCCTCTGTCCATAAGGAGAGACAGTCACTAGCTTTCCAAAAATCCTAATGCATTCATTTCAAGAGTCCAAAGACTCATGCTGATTTTTTCATGCCTTTTTTTAAGCAATACATAACCAAAAGCACTGTGTGCAGAGGAGCCCAATGATGGGCTATTTAATCTTAGCCCTACACAAGCTCAGAGCACCACAGAGGTGCAGTGCCAGGATATCAAAACCTCAAAAGAAAAAAGCTAAGGGAGTGTGCAACGACAGTTAAAAACCCTTAGCTTTTTAATATACAATTAGGTGACTCAAGTATAGTACTAGTTTGTCTTATTCATTAGACAGCAGCTGCTAAGAAGCACATATCTTAACGCCTTTGGCTTTCATTGAGATTTGTACCAAAAAAAATCACAAAATACACTTTGCTATCTTCCTTTTCTTTTGTACATTATTATGTATTTAAAAAAAAACTATCAACACAAAATATTTAAGTTTAGTTTATAAAAAAAGGTTCAGAAAGGTTGTTTAAAAAGCATGTCCATTTCAGAGCAACCCAGAAGATTCTATATAAAAGGAGGATGAGAACCAGGGATCAGTCACGCACAGGTAACAGGTTCACACTGATGAATGTGCATGTAGTGAACCTGTAGTGTCTTCCTATTTCAATTGACTGTTTACTCCAAACTCCATCACGAAGTCAAGCTTTGACTGCTGCTTGTCAGAAACAAACAGTTTAAGAATAACATTGAATCCTGGCTTAGTTAGAAAAGTGTCCATATATTCTGAGTGGTCTTCAGCTCTTCGCCTGGGGCTACACTCCTCATGTGTTGATCAACAGTCACTAGCTGTAAAAATAATCATCATCTTACAGCTTCAAGTTCTTTATAAAAACAACTTTTTCAGGGTCCTTTACAAAAGTTTTTGCTGGTTCTTCCCTTCTGTAGATGACATGGTAAGACAGCGGGGAGATATTCATGGCTCCATTTTTAATGTCCTCTTCCTATTTTAAGAGGAAAGAAAAAATACACCAAACAGTTCACATCTTAGTTGCATTTAAAGCAAATTAGTTATATACGTAACACTGAATGAGTTGATAGAATAAAGTAATTTATCATTGTTGTCTGTTCTCACAGCCCTATCTAAATGCAAAAATCTGACATGTTCTTATACACACATCGACAAATGCAGAATACTGTGCTTTGGTTTAAGCCACTGGGATGCACTGAAACATTTTACATAAAACTATAAACATCTACAATACATTAAAAATTACAACATTCTGTTTAATATTTATAAGCTTTAGAAATCAGGAGCCATTCTTATTACTGAACAGTAAAAACCACACACTCACCCCGAAAGCCTCCTCCACCACCTCTTCCTCCTCTGAATCCTCCTCCTCCACCTCTGCCTCCTCTGAATCCTCCTCCTCCTCCTCTTCCTCCACCTCTTCCTCCTCCAAATCCTCCTAAACATAAGAAAGAAATTACCCTTTGAGAAGCATATTCTTTGTTATGCATAACAATTTATTTCATTGACAGCTTCTGAAAGGGAATGAACAACAACAAAAAACAGAAACTGTCAGTTGCTGGACAGTTACCAGTTCAATTGTCTCTTCTAGGGACCATCTGCAGCATTTTAGGTATTGTTTGATATCTGATATACCATGTCCAAAATACTAAAGACACTAACAAAACTCCACAATTAACTTCTTTCACAAGAGCACAAAACTAACTACATATATTAACCAGTAATTGATTACAATTATTAATACTTATTATTTATTAGTTCAAACAAACAAACCAAACCACTTTGAAACACTTGTGCCCTGCTGCAAAGGGTAGGGTAGGGAGAACAGACAAGAAACTGTGATGTAAGAAAAAATAAACTCCAGCTTTAACTGCAGAGTAAGTACAGGGCAGATGATGTTCAAAAAGCAGAGGATGAGATTCACCAGGTGATTCACTCCTCTCTCAAACACTGCATTTCAAGTATTTTGATATCCAGACTGGATTTTTAGAACATAAGGATAAAAAGCTGTTACACAGTGTCCAAAGGAGGGCAACAAAGATGGTGAAGGGCCTTGAGAGGAAGCTGTATGAGGAACAGCTGAGGGCACTTGGTCTGTTCAGCCTGGAGGAGAGGAGACAGAGGGGAGACCTCATTGCAGTCTACAACTTCCTCAGGGGAAGTGGAGGGGCAGGCACCTTCTGTGGTGACCAGTGACACGACCCAAGGGGATGGTCTGAAGTTGTGTCAGGGGAGGTTTAGGTTCGATATTAGAAAAAGGTTCTTCACCCAGAGGGTGGTTGGGCACTGGAACAGGCTCCCCAGGGAAGTGGTCACAGCACCAAGCCTGAAAGAGTTCAAGAAGCATGTGGACAACATTCTCAGGCACACTGTGTGATTCTTGGGGCTGTCCTGTGCAGGGCCAGGAGCTGGACTTTGATGATCCTTGTGCGTGCCTTCCAAAGCAGAATATTCCACGGTTCTATGACTCTAAACATACTAAAAGTATAGATTTCACTGACAGTTTTGAGTGTGTATAATCTACAACCTTTTACCACAAGTTTGCTTAGTAGTCACACTTTCTGTCTTTGATATAAATCAGCATTCTCTCCTCCCTATGCATTGGAGCTGTTATTTAGCCATTGGTCTTGCCATTGGAAAGATATCACTGTCTTTTCTATTGAGTCAAACAGAAACATGAGTAACGTTTTTCTTTGCAATATCGCTGTTGATATTCAGGTACTCAACAGCAGCTTTAAAAAACAAAAGAACACAAATACCCCACAAAACAAATGAAGAAAACAAGATATGTCATCCCAAATAACTCAAACATTCTGCAACTTCCATTCTTGGGATCTTACCTCTACCACCGCCTCTTCCTGCCCCACGTCCACCACCACGTCCTCCTCTACCACCTCCTCTGGGAGCACCTTTTTCTCCAGGGGGCCTTGGCAAAAATCTCTGAAGAGGTAGTAGCTTTGCTGGATCAATGTAAAACTGTAGGAAGAGAGTTACATTAGGCTTTCAAAATACCAAGACCAAAAAGCACATTAATATCTCCCTTTACAAATACCCACAATTTCCTCTTACCCCTTTATGTCAAACTGTTCTCTGCAAATAGCCAAATACAGAAAGCACACAAGAAATAAATCACAGTGTTATAAAGTTACTAAAATATAGATATTTGTGTGATTTTCTTTTGTTACATCTTTTCTTGTGGGGCAGGGAAAAAGAACAAGACAGATACAAAACTGAAAAGTAAGAGGAAATAAAAGACTGTTTACAAAGGCCAATCAGCTTTTAAAGTTATTAAAAATTTAATAAAGCTTTTATTATTTGCTGACATAGACGAGATTTATCTAACTGATGACATACAGTAAAATGCTGTTATTGAGATTGGCTCACCTTTTGCATTTTTTTAAATGAAGAGGCTTTCATGTTCTCAGACAGTTTCACTGAAAAATACTGTTAGTTTCTTTAAGGAGCATAGCAGTAATAAAACATTAGAAATTTTGATTTTTATTATTATGCAGAAGGCATATTCAGACATTTTCTAAATTAGTATTTTCTAAATTAAGCTAAAAATCATCACAATTGTAACTTAAAGATCTGCAGAAACTGTAACCAATTTCTCTCAAATTTTTTAATAGCTACCAATACGGTATTTTGTGGTAAAATAATTTTTTCCTTCCATGTATTAAGGCATACCGAAGAACACAACAGTGCAAAGAGTACATAAAATCATAATTTTAAAAACCAAATTAGCATAGCAAGTGATGAACCCCTTAGCCTCAGGGTGACCTCAAGGCTTATCTAGAATAATTCACATGCTGCAGGGGCTCTGCTAGTGCTGCTGCTGCTGGATACCTGGCTGTGGGAAGGTAAAAGCCAGCAGGGACTGCTGGACCAATCTCATGCCCAGCCTCATCCTACAGGGAACTGGCAGACTGTAATCCCACAAGGACTCTTGTACAAATCCTTTGGCTCTCCAATATGCAAGGACTTAGGGATGCAGTTCCTAAGATCAAAAAGAGCTGCTGGCCAACTCTGCTTAATTAAAAGTGAAGATTAAATGGGGAAGCAAGGAGCTGCAAAATCCAGCGATGTATTTGCTTCATATGTTATTGTAGGAAGAAAACAAGTCTTTGCAATTCAGGCAATTGTCATACAAAAAGCAGATCTGTTAATTATTACAGAGCATGAAAGTGCTTTAAAACCTGCATGTTTTACTTCATATTTCATGTGGGAGAGGAAAATGCATATAACTGGTGACTGATGCTCAACAAACCAACACAGGCTGTCTTACTGCCATGTTATAGGGTTACTCCCCCAGGCATCCCACTTTTCTCATGGATTCTGTCAATCTGGCAGTGACAACTGAATGGGCCCAGTGTCTGTGTCAATAAGCTTGCTTTGACAGAGGACATCCCAGCACAAGCCCACTTTTAGTAATAAACTGGATAATGAGCAACAGGACATCCTAGCATAAACTCACTTTATAATTAAATAATGAGCTGGAGTATGACCAAGGTCCCCTAATGCAGAGGGAAAAAAAATCCACACCCTTGATCCAACTCTGTTATGGGTGAGTAACCTATAGCAGAAAATTTGGTCAGTTAGCTAGAAAAAGTAACAACTTAAACCACCATGGATCCAAAACACAGCCCCAGTACTGGTACTGAGTGAAAACCTCTGCCTGACTGAAAGTACTCTGTCATATCAAAAAGGTTTTAAGACAGGCACTTAATGTGAATGAGCACCTATTGACATTAACAGTCGCAGCCAGACTTGTGTCTGTCCACATATAACTGATAGCCAAGCTCTGAACGATTTTAAAATCCTAGAGAAATCTCATTTAATATCCAATTCACTTTAAAAAAAATAAATACTGCATATCACACATTTTTTGAAGGATACAAAATCTCTCAGCTGTCCAAAGATTTCATCCACTTTGCCAATCTGTTCTTTATTATCCAAGTACACTGGTGCATTGAAATAAGGCACCTTGTTTTCTTCTGTTTTGCACTTACAAACAATGTCATCTTCACAGGGATGCATGAACTCTCCCAACACTGAAATAAAGAACAAACAAGCTAAGGATTTGGACCAGTCATTCTAAATTAAACAAATATAATCCCTCCATGTAACTTACAAACTACCCTTTCTGGAGGGCCCTGGTCATATCCTCCTCTGTTGAAGCCTCCTCTTCCACCTCCCCGTCCAAAGCCACCTCGTCCGCCGCGATTAAAGCCACCTCTGTCACCGCCACCTCCTCCACGGTTGAAGCCACCACCTCCTCTTCCTCCTCCACCTCCTCTGCCACGAAAAGACATCCTCTACTGCCTCCTAAATTGTGGACAAAAATCAGTTGTTTTAAATGCAAAAGATATCTCACATTTGATTTGCTGTACAAACTCAAGCCTCCTGTCAGGAGGCTTGTTAATTTAGAGGCTTTGTTAATTTAGTTGTTAGTCCTTTTCAATACTCACTACAAACGTGCTATGGTTTTAGCCTGTGAAAAATCAAGTTTACAACTAAGATGTAATCTACTGCAACACCTATCTGCAAAAAAGTGACTAGCAGTGATTAGCATGTTCTTCACTGGTCTGTATGAGGGTTGAACATGACACTTTCCAACTCCAGGAGAAGACTGTGCAGCTCTCCAGCCCCACAAAGGAGTGGCACAAAGTGAGAACATCACAGAATCATAGAATGGTTTGGGTTGGGAGGGACCTTAAAAATCATCCAGTTCTAACCCCACCTTCCACTAGACCACATTGCTCAGGGCCCCATCCAACCAGGCCTTGAACATTTCTGGAGATGAGGCATCTACAACTTCTCTGTTCCAGTGTCTCACCACCCTCACAGTAAAGAATTTCTTCCTAATATCCAATCTAAACCTACCTTCCTTCAGTTTATGGCCATTTCCCCTTATCGTACCCCTACATGCCCTTGTAAAAAGCCCCTCTACAGCTCTGGTGTGGCCTCCTTCAGGCACTGGGAGGCTGCTGTAAGGTCTCCCCGGAGGCTTCTCTCCTCCAGGCTGAACAGCCCCAGCTCTCTCAGCCTGGCTGCAGAGGAGAGGTGCTCCAGTCCCCTGAACATCTTGGTGGCCTCCTCTGGACCCGCTCCAAAAGCTCCACGTCTTTCCTGTACTGGGGTCCCCAGAGCAGGATGCAGCGCTCCGGGTGGGATCTCAGCAGAGCGCAGCAGAGGGGCAGAATGCCCTCCCTTGCCCTGCTGCCCACGCTGCTTTTAATGCAGCCCAGGATGTGTTTGGCTTTCCAGGCTGTGAGCGCATATTGCCGGCTCGTGCCCAGCCTCTCATCCACCGGCACCCCAACGTCCTCGGCAAGGTCTGCTCTCTCGTCTGTCCACCCCCCAGCCTGTGGCGGTACCGGGGGTCGCTCCGGCCCTTCCGCTCGGCCTCCTTAAACTCCGAGAGGTTCCCACGGGCCCCGTCGCTCGGGCTCGGGCGCGCACCCGCAGCGCCTCACAGGGCCTGCAGCCGGGGCGCGGGGCCGCGCGGGCCCCTCCTGGCGCCATTCCCTGAGGAATGACAGACAGACAGACAGACAGACAGACAAACAGACGGACCGGGCTGTACCTGCACGTGCGCACCGTCCCCGCCAGGAAACCGCCCACGCTGCCGGAAACGCGGCTGCCGCCGTAAGTGGGCGGCACCGGTCGACCGACACTGTCGCAAAAGCAACTGCCAAACGCTGGGAAAATTCTCAACACTAACCGTGTAAAAGGAGCTTGTGACACGGATGAGCGTGTAATGGGCATCACACGGATAGGAGGGCTTCTCCATATACACATTGTACATAAAAGCATTTGTCCTTCACAATATATAATAAATATTATATAGTAAATAATGCCTACAATCAGGAGAACCAGTGCAATGTTTGGATCGGATTCCTCTGGCCAAAGAAAAGAAATGTGTCTCCTTAACAAGTGCTTCCTTTTAATCATTTACTTCAAGAGCTTTGTTTTTGTTATCTCATAAAACCAGTCAAGCCGAGGCGGGATCCTTTGGAGAGATCAGATTTATCAGTCAATAGTTGCGGCTCCTGTACTTTATTTCTGAGTGCACTTTAAAATATTTTACTAATGGTTAAAAATTAAACACAAATCTAACAGCTGATATTCTAAAGAATCCCAGCCAGAGGAATTTGTCTACAAAGGGAGATAAAATTTCATCATGCGAATGCTCCCAGTTTGCTTGGTTTTCTTCTCTCTCTTTTGTCTTTGTGGATCAGAGGTAAGATATGTTTTATTGTGGTAGCAGCAATTTATTAAAAAGGTTTTAAAACAGTTTATTGTTACAAAAGCAAAACCAGTTGATTTCTTTTTTAAGTTTCCTTTCATGGTATTTGGGTTTCCTACATTAGTTTTAGACCAGCTTGAATGTTTGAAGCTTGCTGTTTCTCTTTCATGTACTGATTGTATCTGGGGCTTATGCTAACAGGCTTGTGGGAAAGATTTTAATCATGACCTTACGCTAAACCAAATTTGCAAGCATGGCTGACCACATAAAGGTGCTGCTATTTCCCCTGCCCCCCCCCCCATTTTTTTGAGAAACAAGATTACAGTCTTGTCACAGGGCAGCATGGGTCATCCTACTGCCAGAAGGTTTGCTGAGGATTGTCTTCAGGCAGAAGTGTCCTGGAAAGCTGAGCTGAGCTGAGCATTCAGCATGACCCGAGTATTTTAGAGAAATCCTGAGATAAAAATCAGCACCTGTTGTTCCCGTTCAGGAGAAGCACCAAGCACAATACGGGAGTTATGCCAAGCCGGATCTGGCTCATACTTTGGATTCTACTCACCTGAGAACAGCAGGAAGAGTTTAGTAAGATTATACAACCATTAAAAGGAGGGTTGTTGGATTAAATTCTGCCCCAACAACATAATCACTGACTTTACTATGGCCAGAATTTCTTCACAAGAATTTTAAACTTCAGCTATATTGATTCAGTTGACACATCTGAAGCTGATAAATCACATTGGAGGACTCACTGTTCTCTCTCATTTTTATGCAGAGTCCATCCATATATATTTTTCATGTTTCATCATTCATCCTACCCACAGATCTTAGTAAGCAAAAGCACTCAGCTTGCAATGAAGTCACAAGACAGCTGCATGAACACAGTTGCAGAGCCACTCAAACAGAGGCTGTCAGAGGGAGGGTCAGAATCTGTGCTTGCAGTCCAATGATGACCACCAACCACACTGCAAATCCACTGCTGTGCCAGATACAGGAAAAAAGCTGATAAGAAAGGGCATTTAATTTTCAAATTTCTTTAAGACACTTGTTACTTGAGCAGTCACAGAGTAAAACAAATCATTAATTGTAGTTCATAAATATTTACAGGTGATACTTAAATCCAAGGTCAACCAAGCCAATAAAAAAAGTCTTAGAAAAAAATCAAATTTCTATTTTTTTTATTTCTCTGGTGTTTAAGTCCCCCTATGTTTTGATCTGCTTACAGTCCCATTGCTGGGATGTGTTATAAACCAATGGCTTAAAAAATGTTTATAATCAGCTGTGCATTTCAGCTGATGTTTGAAGAGTAAAGAGTATAAAGTTTGTGGGAGACCAGTAAGAGAGAAGATCACACCAGGTAAATGATCCAAAAAGAAAAAAATGTTCAGAGAAACTGAGAAAGATGAGGTGGCCAAAGACAAAAAACACCATAAATGATATTTAGCAACTTTGTGGTTCTTAGATAGGAAAAGGTTTATGAATGGACACTTTGTTGAGGGATCTGCAAAACTCTTGGTGCAGTCCCTAATCTTAATCCCTTTTAATTAGATTGTTTTTGTGCCTTGCAGAATGCAGCATCTAATGCTGAAGAAAACCAGTTTCAGCAGGTTGAACCTACCCAGCCAGCTGAGCAAGACACGTACCTCATAGGAGAATGCTTAAGCAACCAATACACCCACAAGTCCTGTAAGAAAGTTTTTTGTCACCCATGGGAACGATGCGTGGAGGGAAAATGCCTCTGTAAGCTTCCCTACCAGTGCCCAAAGAATGGCTCTTCTGTTTGTTCTACCAATGGAAAGAACTTCCATACTTACTGTCAGCTAAAGAGCTATGAGTGTCAACAACCCAAAGCAAAGTTTCTGCACAAGGGAAAATGCATGCCTGAAGGTATTAACACCTCCTTTTCCAAAATTTATCAAACATTGGTGGTTAAGGAGATGCTTGTTATTTACAGCTCAGAAAGTCTGTTCCGTTTCTTGCACTAGCCACAACATGAAACAGAAAATGAAAAGTCATTGAAAATGGGCAGTATCTGTTGATTTTCATAAAAAAATAAAATGATTGACAGGCCCAGGTAGAAAGGGAAGAAATAGACATGGGAAAGAGCCCAAAGGTTTCTAAGCAGGGTGCTGACTATAGGGGGAGGCAGTGGGAAAGGGCCTGCTGTGAACATTAACAGAGAGGGTATCTTTTAAGAGGGACAAACCTCACAGGAGTAAGTGTCCAAGGAATGGAGTCAAGCTGCTGAGGTGTGTGTGGGAGTGCATGGGGGAAGGTAAGCCACGTTCACCTCAGCCATCTTCATGCTGTGGATTCCATCCAAACAGAAAGCTGTTGTCCCTCAAACCACCAACAGTTTTTGCACTGACAATCAGCTGTTTGTTCTCACCTGCTTTTTATGTTGCACCAAGCTGCTTTGTTGGCTCAATATCTGTCTGAGTGCAGGGAAAAACAGCTCCCGTGAACTGGGCAGGTGCCTCTTTTAGCAGAGGCAGATACCTTTTAGCGGAGGCAGTTCCTGCCCATCCTCCAGCCTCACCTCCACGAAATGTTTTTTGTCAAGCCAGGGCTAGTACTGTCCCAGTACCATCACACCCTTTCCTCAGAGAAGTAGCAACTCAGCCCATCACCTTCAGGGTGGCAAAATTCAATTCTGTCTATTCTACTGAAAAGGTCTGGAGAACCTCCATATGGTCCTGGTGCACTCTCTATATGGCTTCACTATGTTAAGCTGAGGACTTTAGCTTCACTGTACACAGCAGACATTTTGATACACAGGTAGTAGAAACAGGATCTGGCCACCTCACTTCAAGTGTTACTGGTTGGTTATCAAAAGTTCCCTAAAAAAGGTCATTATACTAAAATGCAGCCTGTTCTCAGTAGACCTCCAGCTACTCTTAAGTGTCCATTATCCTCATTTATCCTTAAACTGGTATATTTTGAAAAAATAGCAGGCTCAAAGACACAAAGTCAATCCTCAGAAAATTCACAAATAATACCTGAAGTTTCTGATTCCCAATCTACTGTTCTTTCCATATGAACCTCGGCTGTAAGTACAAAATTAGTCCTGATTTGGTTTTGTGCTGTCTTTCCACTAGATACTTCTATATAATATGATATTGTTTGGAAATTTTTTTTAGAAACATTTTCAGTCTCTCTGGATCATGGAAATCTAAACTTGCTTCAAGTAAAACCTGTTAATCAAAAGGACAACACTTTTGTATGTGCTACTGAATGGACTATGAACGAAGCAAACGTGGCTTGCAAGCACCTTGGCTTTGAATTGTAAGTTTGGGGAATTTATCTCTGGATAACTGCAAGGGATCTGAAAAAGTAGTGATGCTTACAGAATTGTCAGTCAC